AATTAACCATAAAATGACATGCTGAATCCGAATTTCAAATCAGTTTGGATTCAATATTTATGAGCAATTGTGGATTTTGACGGGATTTCTATAAAACCGCCACAAGAAAACTACCTAACCAAAGTCAATACCTTACGCGTTTTGTAGCACTAGTCGAGTAGACTAGTGGGCTATCAAGATCTCGATGAACTGATGTGTAAGTTTCGAGGGAGGAAGCCAGGACGGGTCAAAGTAGGTCTCGGGGCTACGCTTACCATGAAGAAGTAAAAAGTGTTAGAGGTTTCATTGTTGCGTCCTACGAACAAACGTGGAAGTCGCTTTCATTTGAATATAAATAAAGGTAAGTTTTGTTAGATTTTGAGCTCGTCCAACACGCCATAAAACGAGTGATATCTGCTAACTTATGGGCGAGGAAAAACCCGGCTCGGAATAATTTTTCCATGGAGCGACAAGGGTCTTTACATACCTTTAGTTGATATGAAAAGTTGAAAATTTTATGCTACGTGTGCTCAATACACCCAATTTTCTAACGAGAGACCGCTAGAAAAGCACTGACAACTCACAATAGAGAATTGGGAGGTTTATTTGACGTTGAAGGTTAATTACCGACCGGTGTTACTTTTATTAAAATAAAAGCTCATCGGGTATCTACAAAAAAGAAACAAACATTCATAAAAAGCCAAATAGAAATAGATGACACAAAAACAAAAGGAAAGAAACATCTGATTGTTGCCACTGATGGCGGCGCTTTTGTGGCACAGATCGTGGCGATGAATATTATTGTTGTTGCCTGTCGATTGAGGGTCGACTTCTCATCGAAGGAAATTTCTTTTCTTTATTCATTCTTTGAGGTTTATAACTTACAATTCATCAAAACGTCATAAAGATTTGTCTCTTTTTTGTTATCAGAGATGCCGGCATATGTTGATTATGAGAGACAACGCTTTTTTATTTTAATATGTTTTTTTCTCTTTCTCTATTCTGCAGCACAAATTGTGTTGCTGTATTATTACTTCTACAAGTATTTATTTAGTTTATTATTTGACTTTTAGATATTGCTCAACCTTATGTTGGGATAAAATTAATCGATTTCTGTTTCATTTGAGTCATTTGCATAGGGAAAAAAGGAGAATATCATAATTTGATATGGTACAAAATAAACGAAGACATGACGTATATAATTAAGATTATTCAAGAAGAAGAATCTGAGCTCAACCTTGGACGAGAATTAATGTCAATATACACTTAACAGATGTTTATTGACATTAACTCTCGTTCAATTATTACATCCCTTCTGAGAAAATGGGAATATTCATCAATGATTCAAAAGCTTGACATGGTTCCTATTCTTCTTGAGCAATATCTAAAAAGTCAAATAATAAACTAAATAAATATTTTTAGAAGTAATAATATAGCAACACAATTTGTGCTGCAGAATATAGAAAGAGAAAAAAACATATTAAAAGAAAAAAGCTTTGTCTCTCATGATGAACAGTTATAAACCTGAAAGAATAAATAAAGAAAAGAAATTTCCTTCGATTAGAGAGAAAGAGAGAGACTGAAAACAGTATATAAACCGACTGTACAACTATAATATGGAACAAACGCTTGGCTAAGGTTTTGTACAAATTCACATAGTAATACTCTCAACAAATATACTTACACGTCATATACAGTTACTGATAAACTTAGTCCTCCCGTTCTTCGAATTATATTATATTATATTATATAGAGTCAAAAGTAAGAAAAAGATGTCTTTCACGTTTTATCTTGTTTCTAAAGAATAAATGTTCAAGAAAGTGAAGTTTTAGTTTCTACTATAGGAGAGAATTTTAAATTCTAATGCGTCATTGTTTAGTGTTCATCGCATCCTGCTTAATTACTTTGAACACTTGCAGACTTACAATGCTTTAAGGATGATTCATATAGATAAATATTTGAAGAAAATTCATCGGTACAAACTGTTACCTGATCATCATAAATGAAGGTTAATCCGTTCAAATTACGAACATTCACTCTATATGAAAGAAAACATTTCGAAAATATTTCTTGTGTCTGTTTCTTACGAGACTTTGCTCTGTCAATCACAGACGTACTATCACGACTTTATGAGGGCTTACAATTTATTACGACAATAATAACTTGCGCCATTTCTAGAATAAATGGCTTACCCACACTTTTTTCCGAGTAAATGGCTATAATATATCCCTATGCTAAGTGGCTATAATAGTACAATGCTAAGTAAAGCACTCTCATTTACTGTTGCAATACAACCAATGTATTTTCAATTTATTCATATTTCATAGTATAATGGCCCAACCCGAACATTTGCTCAGTAATCCATGGTTTGGAAAAGGGTTTTTCGAACCAGGTCAATACAAAGTGGCTATCGAACGATTTAAAGGTGGTTATGATTCATGTAAACTATTTCTTAAATGTGTTGAACAACGAGTGAAAATTGAACATGATTACGCCGCCGACTTGAAAAAATGGTCACATACATGGCAAAAAGAAATTCAACGATGTCAAGAGTATGGTACAACTAAACAGACATGGTTAGCATCAATTGTTGCTGGCGAACAATATTTTTATACTCATTCAGAAATAGCTAAAAATCTTCACGAAAATTGCATTGAGAAAATGTTACAATATGAAAAAGAAAATTATGATAAATCACACATTAAACACGTGAAAGAGTTTGAAAGAGAATTTGAAGAAGCACAAAAAAGTTGGCTAAAATTATTGCAAAAGATAGACGCTGCAAAAAAAATGTATCGTGAGTCAAAGTACAAATTAAAGACATATGAAGCAGTAGGAGAAATTCTACAAAGTGAATCTAGTGTATCCGATGAACAAAAACGTAGAGCAAAAGATCTTGTAGATATCCGCAAAAAAGAAAGTACTTCTCAAGAATCAAAGTATAAACAATTGATTGGAGAAATGCAAAATCAGCGACCAAATTATGAAAAAGAAATGACCGATCTTTTAAATCAGACACATGATTTGGAGTACAAACGTAAAAGCTTTTTTAAAATGATGTTTCAAGAGTATCATGATGCACTTTTTTCAACCAGACTAGATGAAACTCTAACAAAAGCATCGTCAGATTTTAAGGAATTATTGAATCATCATGATGCTACACTAGATGTTAAATGGTGGAATAAAACTTATGGTAGTGATACGAATACTCAATGGCCAACGTTTGACGAAGAATTAGATGAGACAAATACGTAGTTCTTATTAGGTAGATACATTCTAAGAGATACGGAGAATGAATAGTAGCACCCATCTATGACAAAAAATCATGGTTAAGAGAGTATCTTTCGTAGTTGTACTAGTTTAGTTCGTGCCATATGTGAATTTCTTTATGAGTTTGCGAAGGAATTTCTTGTTCATATACATGTGATAATCTAGACAGTCAATATAATTCTTTAGAGAGGAGTACTTTATTCTGGAGTATTTTATCTTAAACGAGGTTTCTGAATTAAACTCATGAGACTAGTTTTTCTTCTAAAGTTATGCATCGCTCCTCCGTGTATTATCTTTTTACATTGTGTTTTTGTTATTATTCAACAATTGGATGGAATCGTCTTCTTTTTTTTCAAATAAAGATTTTTTATTTAAACATTTCTAATCAAGTTTCAGAATATCATCAGTGAACCGTACTACAGAAAGAAAGAGACAACATAGAGCATAATGCTCAAATTCGTGCACGCCGAGTGCTGTTTTATCTCCAAACCTAAACTACACAACGTTATCCAGTAGATTGGGTTTCTAGATTTGGAAATATCAATGGAACTTAATGCATATCGAAAAATGCGAAAATCATTTATTTCTGGAAATAACAGACGACTTATTCGTTGGAAACCATTTTTGTCTGATGAAAAGGGACAAGAGGTTAGCAATCATGTTATCTGTTTTTCAAAACTTGATATTGCATGAGTGTTTGTTTAATAATTAGCTACAGTTTTCATCTCACAAATTTCGAGTGTATTTGGAGTGTCCTGTAAGTGACATTGAGAAAACAGCACAGATAAATATCAATTTAGCAGATATAGAAAGTTCTCAAGTTAATCGCGATAGAACAGAATGTGATCCTCTTATTTTATCATAAATATTAACAAGAATATTCTAATTGGCACAGACTGACAACGAAAGTTTCCTGGAAAAACATCCGGTAAAGCTTGAGAAACTGACCAAACGTGGGGTTTATTACAGTCTGAAAATAAAACTAACAGGTTATTTTGCGAAATGTGTGAAATTGAGCTTTTGGACAGTGCAGTTTAAAACTGCAGAACGTTGCTTTGGTTAGTGGGAATTATAAAAGCTAGCTATATTTTTTGAAATTAAAGTAAAGTAAATTTTACCCCAAACTCGGAAGATTAAAACTCTGGTCGACAGATTGAGTTAAAAATTTTCGCTTTAAGAGTATCCCACTTCCTTTTTGGCGCTTTCCGTAGATATATTGTCAAGCATAAACTAAAAATGACAAAGCCTTCTTACCAGAACTAATTGGAAACTCAATTGAGCATCTTTTCATTCTTCTTGCAACTCTCTAGCTATCAAGGCTTTCAAATTTTCTAAAAACTCGGGTTTTGATATGGTTCGATTACGCCCACCCGATAACTTGATTATAAATACTAGACAACATTACCCAGATGTTGATTTTGTTTTCGTTCTATGATCGTTTCTTTCCCAGTTATAGTAAAAACATTGCAGTTTACTGCAAAGCTAAATTCATGTGCTTGAATCTGTATTCGTACAAAATTGATTTTGTGTTTTTCGATAGTTTTAGTTACTATAATGGAATATTTTTCCGCTTGTATTCTGACAGAATAAAGCTGATATGAACAGAAACATTGAAAAACATCTTAAAATCCAGGTTTTTCACTCTTAGAATTTCTATAACTCGAAAAGAAAAGATGATAGAACGAGAAAAAAAAACTACACCTGGGCAATGTTGTCCAGTATTTATGATAAAGTTTTAAAGTCAACCGGATCAAGTTACCGAGGGTTCGTAATATGACTGGATTGAAGGGTCTATTGTTGTTTACCTGTACAATTAAAAACCGGTTTCCAGCGCTAACCGGTGAAAAATACAGATGATGACACTACATACGAAAAAACTATACGTTTCACGAAAATCAAAAGTGTCACGTTAGAAAACAAATGCATGAGGAAATTGGGAAAAAAGATGAATTTCAGGTAAGACATCATGAAAGTGATTGACATAAAAGTTAAACGAGTTTCGATACCATCTCCAAAAATCGTAAAAATAAGAAAATACATGATGCTAAAAATACTCCGCTAAAAGCCGTGCGTGCTTACAATTCTTACGTAAACCGAAAACGCCTAAACACATCGAACGCCAGTGCACAAAATTAGAATACATATTCCACAAATCCAACAATTCGACACTGTCCGGAAAAGGGAAGACTCTGGACATGTATTTAATCCATCGATTGTAGAGAAAGAACATACACGAGATGATTCATGTGTGCCATTCACAAACAACGATCAACAATACATCGGGCGCATAAGAACAATCATTTGCGAAAAAAATAGACGTGATTTGTTTCTAATTCAGCCGGTCATCATTGAGAAAACCTTTTCCTTCTCCGAATGTCGAAAAACATTTTGGTGCCGCAATGTTCATTATAGTTATTTCTAATCGAACAAATTCATCCTTTGTAGTTGGCGCGATCTAAATGAATCAGTCTATGTACAAGATAATGATAACACTTATATTTTTTTTCGTTTCCCTAATCTTGTTGAATCATCATAGAAAATTGTCAAGACTGTATATTTTTTCAAGTAACAATAAATAAAAACTAAGAGCAATATCACGTGTTGATATTTTTTTGTTCGTCACCACTCTCTTCAGTCTATCTGCTGACATGAAATCTTTATCATTGACGAAAAGCCAACAGGCCGTCTGCTTATGCATAAATTTCACTCATCCATCGATACAAATGCGAAAGTAAAAATGAGCTGTATAGTTTGTCTAACATCATTTTCGTTAAATAATTTCATTTTTCCAACTTCTCCTGATTAATGGGCATATTAAAATTTTGACCGACATCGGGTGGTGGTGCATTTGTTGCTGTGTCTCTTTCTTTTTTCTGTATATAACATTGATATGTTTTATGTACATGTTTATACTTAATGCGTGATAATAATGAGTAATTTCTTATTATATAAGATTGCACATAAATGAAATCAAAATCTAAGTAAGGCACCGTTAATTCATAGTTACGACGCCTCTCAAATTTTCTTCGCTTATACATAGATCGATGGAGTTTGAACAGCTGCATCTACTAGTGGTCTTTTTTTTCAGAATAACTGTCGACAGAAAAACGATAGAAACTTGCGGAAACTCCAGATTAGGACACCACCTGCAAGTGGTGTACCACATTGCTCCGTAAGGACATATTCAAAACAAGGCATGGCAACAAGGCATAGATCAAGTCGAAAAAAGTAGGTTTGGGCTACGAATAGATGGAAGGTTGTCTAGAGACCGCCTTAAAGATCTTCGAGATTATTTTATTGACTCAGACACTTTTTTCGACTAGACCTATAATCCATGCCTTATTTTGAATATTTCCTAAAAAATTTAGTTTGTTTGGATAAAAAATGACTGAGCTATGAATATTTTAATAGTACATGGGCTTCGAGGAAAATGTAGATTTTGAAAAAATTGATTCAGCTGAGCTTTCCGTCATCTGAGGATGGAAATAAAGATTGCCGCGATGATCAGAGCATTTAGTTGTCTATACAATGTGCTTTTGAGATTGCTGGACATGTCTAGTACGAGATAGGGTGATCGTCGGAGAATGACTAACTTCGGGACCATAAGAACTAGAGATTTGGGACTTTGGTAGAATTGCAACGTATTCACGTTTTCTCGATGTTGGCTGGCGTAGAAACGAAAGGGACTATATGAAAATGTAGGTATCCAGAAAATCTTTTGTCTTCATGGTGAAATTCGCGAAATACCGAAAAAATGCATCCTTCACATGAAGCGCCTATCGTTTTTTCTACTTTCACTGTACGATTTTGAAACAAAGTTTTTCAGAATCAGCATGTCAAACTGCATAGGAACACGTATTCTTAAAGTTCGGAAGAGCCTGGCTTGCTTCGGCAAAAACTCCTCTTTTTGAGACCAGGCAGAAACCATACCCTCTGCGAAAGAAGTATCAAGTCCCCCACGATAATAGATAGAACCTTGATTCTTGCTTCATTTGATCGGCTTTTATTAGTGCTACGAAAGTGTAACTCGTTTTTTTTGAAATTCCTTTCCGTTACTGAGAAATTTCACTTTTGCTAAATCAGGAGCGAAAACATCGGAATTGTGCCCGTAATTCTCAAGTTTCTTCACCAGAACTCACTTTTTATGCAATAGCATAGAGCATGTAATAGCATCAGCATGGAGATTTCTATGCATATAAAAAGATTTTGTATTTAAAGGTTTTTTTATATTTATGGGAATTTGAGCAGGAAACGGAAAAAAATTCATGACAATTAGAGAGAGATTGTTAACATGTTTTTGGAACTCATGGAAATGGGATTCGAAAGAAAAAGTTAAGAGAGCACATCTCTAGCTGGCTGCCATCTACAAAACCGAGTAATTATTCTTCTCACTAAAGAGTTCCATTTGATTTCGTATGTCCAGTACAAGTGGATGTGTATCAGGTAAAGTTTCTTCAATGATTGACAAAGCCTTTGTACAAGAATCCAATGCTTGAACATAATTTTTAGTATCATAATGAACAATTCCAATATTATAAAAACTTCGAGCTAAATCCTGATGATCAGATGGCATTACTTTTTCTTTTATTCTAAAAGCTTTTGTGTAAAAATTTAAAGCATTTGTATAATCGCCTTTTTTATAATAAATCAGTCCACAGTGTCGAACTTTATGAAAGCTGTACTGTTTCCCAATAGGGTCCCGTTATTTGCTGACATTGTCACGACGGATTAACCTCCGTTTATGTTTCGAACAGCTTCTAGATTACTTCGAGTAGTGTTCATTCCGTAAATCGTTGGCGACTTTCAGTCTAAACTACGGTTTTAATTTACATGTGCCCTAGAGAATGTACTTGACGCAAGTACTTGGTAAGTACCTGGAAAAATTGGCAAGTGTTTTCAAAATTTCTCACTTGCCATGTACTTTCAGACGTACTTCTCAATCATAAAAATACTTGCTTTTATTGGTAAGAAGTACTTTGTGAAAG